TCGCTGACATTGAGAGGATTTTTATCTTGCTGTATAGTGTAACTGAGAAAATAGAGCGTTTCCGACACATCTCCAGAGTATTCACATTCATCACATCACAAAGATTTCATAGGATCGTACCTTGATAATCAAGTATAGCCACTGTATCCCTGTATATGAAATTCCAATTCCAAAAGTCCATTTCGACATATAAATACATTGTGATCCTTACGATAGTTAGGGAATTATAGATAGATCTTTGTGTTGAGGCCTCTGTTGCCACAACCCAGTCTCGTGCTGTCTGTCCGTCTGTCTGCATGTCCGTCTGTCTGTCTTCCTGTTTACTCACCTCTCCACTGCAATAGCCGACATGTGCGTGAGCCCTCCAGGACTGGATAGAGTTGTTTCGCTTCACCTTGCAGGGTGCTGCGTGTTGTCAATGGTGGTTGAGGCGACACACACACACACACGCACACACACACATATACACACACACACACACAGAGAGAGAGAAGGTACAGTGTAAAAATTGCTCTTAAGGCGGGGAGGTGCTGGAGGAGGTTCACTGTAACTATGTACTGTATATCTTTACGTGATCTGTATATCTATCTGGGTCTCAAAGATTGTTTGTTAGTTTTCTCTCTTCTTCAGCCTGTTGATCTGATTGTCTGCCAATCTATTACTCTTCAATGTATATATATAATACACTATCATATTTACTTAATTCACACTGTATTTTTGTCACAAAACACAATGTCTGTGCACTGTAAAGAAATCATTTAAGCAAAGATTTACAGGAAATTATCTTATTCAAAGCTATGTTTACACAGTCTTTAAAGGAACCCGCATTTGAAGGAACAACTTGTAACATCTCTTCAGGGTGCCTTAAGACCCGATGAAATAAATTGTGGAATAAAAGTGATTTTGAAGAAAAAATTCTCTATATCATTTTTCTTAACTGGGTTGTAGCTTTTTGATAATAGTGGAAGAAGTGTTCAGCCTCTCGAGTAATATTACAAACACAAGAATGTAAAAATGAAATCATATTTATATAAAACTACAGAAACATCATCAACAGCAAAAAATCATATATCAATAGTTGCTGATTCTGAAGGAAATGGCCCATTTGAATAATAATACATAACGATGTGATTAGATTATTAATACTAATGCATCAGGTGTAGGTATCATGTTATTGTTGTAGCAGGTTAGGATGTAGTCTTGTAAAGGTTTGGTGATATTGTCCAGTTGTTTCCAACCAAGTCCTGGGTCCTTACAAAGCATCACAAGATAAACTTGCGTGAGATGATTTATGAGTTGGAGAAAATAAAAAATAGTAGGCAATCATCTTTTGGACTTTTCGGTTTTCTTTACTTGGAAACATTGGACAATTTTACCTCCTTTAGTCTTAAGCAATTAAAATGAAATTAATGGAAATGTACAGACATCTGAAATGTGGGACCCTAACTAAACATTGCTCTCTTGTAAAGGGCCACAAGCCCAAAAAGGTTGGTTTAATCTGTAAAAATACAATGTAAACTGTTTCTTTGTCTTTTTTTGTATTTACACACTAATTCGTAACTTGTAACAATGATGTGGCCTAAAAATAATATAATT